GTAAATGTGTGGGTTGTATGGCTGATGTGTGTGTTGTCATGTTGTTTGTGGTGTGTTTGTTGTGTGTTTTGTGTTTGTTGGTGTGTTTGTCTGTGTGTGGTTTGTTTGTTTGTGTGTTTGTTGTTGTGTTGTCTGTGTGTGTTTGTCTGTGGTTTGTTGTGTGTTTGTATGTGTGTGTTGTGTGTTTGTCTGTGTGTTGGTTGTCTGTGTGTTTGTCTGTGTGTTGTCTGGTGTTGGTGTTCTGTGTGTTTGTTGTGTGTTGTTGTGTGTGTGTGTGTTGTCTGTGTGTTTGTCTGTGTGTTTGTCTGGTGTGTTTGGGTGGTTGTATGTATAAGTGCATGTGGTTTGTCTGTGTTGTGTGTGTTTGTGTGTGTGTTTGTCTGTGTTGTTTGTACTGTGTGTTGTCTGTGTGGTTTGTCTGTGTGTTGTTGGTGTTTGTGTGTGTGTGTGTATGTGTGTTGTCTGTGGGTTTGTCTGGTGTTGTGTCTGTGTGTGTTTGTCTGTGGTGTTTGTCTGTGTGTTTGTCTGTGTGTGTTTGTCTGTGTGTGTTTGTCTGTGTGTATAAGTGCATGTGTGTGTCTGTCTGTGTGCGTTTGTCTGTGTGTGTTTGTCTGTGTGTGTGTATAAGTGCATGTGTGTTTGTCTGTGTGTGTTTGTCTGTGTGTGTTTGTCTGTCTGTGTGTGTTTGTCTGTCTGTGTGTGTTTGTCTGTGTGTGTTTGTCTGTGTGTGTTTGTCTGTGTGTGTTTGTCTGTGTGTGTTTGTCTGTGTGTGTTCGTCTGTGTGTGTTTGTCTGTGTGTGATTGTCTGTGTGTGATTGTCTGTGTGTTTGTCTGTGTGTTTGTCTGTGTGTTTGTCTGTGTGTTTGTCTGTGTGTTTGTCTGTGTGTTTGTCTGTGTGTTTGTCTGTGTGTTTGTCTGTGTGTTTGTCTGTGTGTTTGTCTGTGTGTTTGTCTGTGTGTGTTTGTCTGTGTGTGTTGTCCTCACCCTGAGCCACCTGTGTGCCTGCTCCCTGCTCTGCACAGCCAGGACCAGAGCCTCTCCGCTGGGTGGAGTGAACCTCAGCTCATGTCTCTTCCTGCGTCCGTCTTTAGGGGCGTAGACCACAGTGCACTGGGGCAGGGGCAGGTCAACATACGGGGACACGTCCTTAGAGCTCTTATAGCACTGGAGGAGAGAACACAGGGGTTAAGGAGTGTGTGTGTGTGTGTGTGTGTGTGTGTGTGTGTGTGTCTGTCCATGATGTGTGTGTGTGTATGTCTGTGTGTATACGTGCCTACGTCTGCATGTGTGTGTACCTGTAGCCTGTTATCCCGTATGACAGTCAGTTGCTTGGCCCACTGTCCGAAGCGTTTCTTTCGCAGCAGGAAGGCACAGATCCTACAGTCCCTTGCCGGGAGCATGGAGCTCTCATCACTAGGCCACTGGTGGGTCAGTCTGGACCCTGGCCCTGATCCCTTTTCCTCTTCATCCTCCTCATAGGACTCATAGGAACTACTCAGGGCATCAGAGTCATTGTCTGGGGGGAGAGAGACCAAGAAACTACAGTTAGACTGAAACCAATCAGAAGAAACTACAGTTAGACTGAGACCAATCAGAAGAAACTACAGTTAGACTGAGACCAATCAGAAGAAACTACAGTTAGACTGAGACCAATCAAAAGAAACTACAGTTAGACTAAGACCAATCAGAAGAAACTACAGTTAGACTGAGACCAATCAAAAGATACTACAGTTACACTGAGACCAATCAGAAGAAACTACAGTTAGACTGAGACCAATCAGAAGAAACTACAGTTCAAATCAAATCAAATGTTATTTGTCACATGTGCCAAATACAACAGGAGTAGACCTTACAGTGAAATGCTTACTTACAAGCCCTTAACCAACAATGCAGTTTTAAGAAAGAATACCCCCCAAAAAAATCACACAAAAAAAAACAATATGAAATAATATGAAATAAAAGTAACAAATAATTAAAGAGCAACAGTAAAAATAACAATTGCGAGGCTATATAAAGGGGGTACCGGTACCGAGTCAATGTGCGGTGGCACCGGTTAGTCGAGGTAATTGAGGTAATATGTACATGTAGGTAGAGTTATTAAAGTGACTATACATAGATAATAAACAGAGAGTAGCAGCAGCGTAAAAGAGGGGAGGGGGTGGGGGGTGGGGGGGCTTATGTTAAGGAGCCTTATGGCTTGGGGGTAGAAGATGTTTAGATGCCTCTTGGACCTAGACTTGGCGCTCCAGTACCGCTTGCCGTGCGGTTGCAGAGAGAACAGTCTATGACTAGGGTGGCTAGAGTCTTTGACCATTTTTAGGGCATTTCTCTGACACCGCCTGGTATAGAGGTCCTGGATGGCAGGAAGCTTAGCCCCAGTGATGTACTGGGCCGTACGCACTACCCTCTGTAGTGCCTTGCGGTTGGAGGCCGAGCAGTTGCCATACCAGGCAGTGATGCAACCAGTCAGGGTGCTCTCGATTGTGCAGCTGTAGAACCTTTTGAGGATCTGAGAACCAATGCCAAATCTTTTCAGTCTTCTTAGGGGGAATAGGTTTTGTCGTGCCCTCTTCACGACTGTCTTGGTGTGCTTGGAACCGTGTTAGTTTGTTGGTGATGTGGACACCAAGGAACTTGAAGCTCACCTGCTCCACTAAGCCCGCGATGGAATGGGGGCTGCTCGGTCCTCTTTTATTCCTGTGTCACAATCATCTCCTTTGTCTTGATCACGTAAGGAGAGGTTGTTGTCCTGGCACACACGGCCAGGTCTCTGACCTCTCTCTATAGGCTGTCTCGTTGTTGTCGGTGATCAGGCCTACCACGTTGTATCTGCATTAATGTGTGGGTCGTGCCGGCAGTCTGAATGAACTCAAGTGAGGGTGGGTTCTCCTGGCATGTCAGTCATGGATGAACCCAGGGGCAGGAAGTCCAACTCGAGGGGGGGTAGTCACCATCCACATTGAGCATTGCACTAGCATCTCGTTGAGGTCAGTGTTGGAGGATGGTTGACTCCCTTACCACCTGGGCGGCCCGTCAGGAAGTCCAGGGGATCCAGTTGCAGAGGGAGGTGTTTAGTCCCAGGGTCCTTGATGAGCTATGAGGGCACTATGGTGTTGAATGCTGAGCTGTAGTCAATGAATAGCATTCTCACGTAGGTGTTCTTTTTGTCCAGGTGTGAAAGGGCAGTTTGGAGCGCAATAGAGATTGCATCATCTGTGGATCTGTTGGAGTGGGTCTAGGGTTTCTGGGTAATGGTGTTGATGTGAGCCATGACCAGCCTTTCAAAGCACTTCATGGCTACAGATGTGAGTGCTACGGGTCGGTAGTCATTTAGGCAGGTTACCTTAGTGTTCTTGGGCACAGGGACTATGGTGGTCTGCTTGAAACATGTTGGTATTACAGACTCAGACAGGGAGAGGTTGAAAATGTCAGTGAAGACACTTGCCAGTTGTTCAGTGCATGCTTGGAGTACACGTCCTGGTAATCCGTCTGAACGTTGACCTGTTTGAAGGAGAGCGTGATCACACAGTCGTCCGGAACAGCTCATGCTCTCATGCATGTTTCAGTGTTACTTGCCTCGAAGCGAGCATAGAAGTAATTTAGGTCGTCTAGCGGGATTTCTTATAAGCTTCCGGGTTAGAGTCCCACACCTTGAAAGTCGTCCGGAACATGCCTCTTGCATGTTCGTGTTACTTGTCGAAGGAGGCATAGAAGTAATTTAGGTCGTCTAGCGGGATTTCTTATAAGCTTCCGGGTTAGAGTCCCACACCTTGAAAGCAGTTAGAGTCCCACAGCTCTACCCTTTAGCTCAGTGCAGATGATGCCTGTAATCAATGGCTTCTGGTTGGGGTGTGTATGTACAGTCACTGTGGGGATGACGTCATCGATGCACTTATTGATGAAGCCAGTGACTGATGTGGTGTACTCCTCAATGCCATCAGAAGAATCCCAGAACATATTCCAGTCTGTACTAGCAAAACAGTCCTGTAGCTTAGCATCTGCTTCATCTGACCACTTTTTTATTGACCGAGTCACTGGTGCTTCCTGCTTTAGTTTTAGCTTTTAAGCAGGAATCAGGAGGATATAATTATGGTCAGATTTGCCAAACAGAGGGCGAGGGAGAGCTTTCACAGTCTTTGTGAAGGGATGAAACTTCTTCAAAATGTCTTTAGGAGTGAAATGTTAACATACTTCTCTCTTTTTTGGGTGAATTATAGCCCCAAAGTTCACTCTTGATTGTAGAAAAGATACACACACTCACATACGTCTGCACATGTTTATTACAAAGAACAAAACATCAATGTCACCCTGAAAAGGGAGTTGTAACCACACAGATCAGAAGCTATTTATCTGGTCTTGTTTTGCTACTGTAGGATATGTTTTCTACTACATTTGACTCACAGGAGTTTTTGCGTTGTCGTCTGTTGATGCAGGTAGGAGGGGAGTTGTTCTCTGCATCCTCATAGTAACCATCCTCTATGGAGTTAGGAGGGCTGGAGCTACCGCGGGTGGTGATGTACTCTGGCTGCTTGCCTGGGCTGAGAGGTACTGCCTCTTCATAGTAAGCCTCAGGAGGGGGGGTGGTGGGCAGGGGTGGAGGGGTCTCTGATGAGCAGGGGGGAGAGGAGTCTGGACTGCTCTATAGGGTAGGTAGACACAGGTACAGCACTTTAATTACATACTACACACAAACAAACATGTAACCACACATGAAAAACAACAGTTTGTTTGAGATGTTTCTAGCTGAATCACACACACACACACATGCACACATGCACACACCTACACACACACCTCACACACACACACTGTGCAAAGCTAGGGCACTTGGAAAGAAACTGTAAAATGGGACTAGACAGGAGAAGCGCCACTACACCTCAGCTTGATGGATGAGCTCTGAGAGCAATACGGGGATCAGCAACACTATGGAGGATCATCTAACACTATGGAGGATCATCTAACACTATGGAGGATCATCTAACACTATGGGGGATCATCTAACACTATGGAGGATCATCTAACACTATGGGAGATCTAACACTATGGAGGATAATCTAACACTATGGAGGATCATCTAACACTATGGAATCTAACACTATGGAGGATAATCTAACACTATGGAGGATAATCTAACACTATGGAGGATAATCTAAAACTATGGAGGATCATCTAACACTATGGAGGATCATCTAACACTATGGAGGACCATCTAACACTATTTATTTTATTTATTTTTATTTCACCTTTATTTAACCAGGTAAACCAGTTGAGAACAAGTTCTCATTCACAACTGCGACCTGGCCAAGATAAAGCAAAGCAGTGCGATAAAAACAACAATACAGAGTTACATATGGGGTAAAACAAAACAAAGTCAAAAAATACAACAGAAATACATATATATACAGTGTGTGCAAATTTAGCAAGTTATGGAGGTAAGGCAATAAAATAGGCTATAGTGCAAAATAATTACAATAGTATTAACACTGGAATGATAGATGTGCAAGAGATGATGTGCAAATAGAGATACTGGGGTACAAATGAGCAAAATAAATAACAATATAGGGATGAGGTAGTTGGGCGGGCTAATTTCAGATGGGCTGTGTACAGGTGCAGTGATCGGTAAGGTGCTCTGACAACTGATGCTTAAAGTTAGTGAGGGAGATAAGTGTCTCCAGCTTCAGAGATTTTTGCAATTTGTTCCAGTCATTGGCAGCAGAGAACTGGAAGGAATTGCGGCCAAAGGAGGTGTTGGCTTTGGGGATGACCAGTGAGATATACCCGCTGGAGCGCAGACTACGGGTGGGTGTTGCTATGGTGACCAATGAGCTAAGATAAGGCGGGGATTTGCCTAGCAGTGATTTATAGATGGCCTGGAGCCACAGGGTTTGGTGACGAATATGTAGTGAGGACCAGCCAACAAGAGCGTACAGGTCATAGTGGTGGGTATTATATGGGGCTTTGGAGACAAAACGGATGGCACTGTGATAGACTACATCCAATTTGCTGAGTAGAGTGTTGGAGGCTATTTTGTAAATGACATCGCCGAAGTCAAGGATCGGTAGGATAGTCAGTTTTACGAGGGCATGTTTGGCAGCATGAGTGAAGGAGGCTTTGTTGCGAAATAGGAAACCGATTCTAGATTTAACTTTGGATTGGAGATTCTTAATGTGAGTCTGGAAGGAGAGTTTACAGTCTAACCAGACACCTAGATATTTGTAGTTGTCCACATACTCTAGGTCAGACCCGTCGAGAGTAGTGATTCTAGTCGGGTGGGCGGGTGCAAGCAGCGTTCGGTTGAAGAGCATACATTTAGTTTTACTAGTGTTTAAGAGCAGTTGGAGGCTACTGAAGGAGTGTTGTATGGAATTGAAGCTCGTTTGGAGGTTTGTTAACACAGTGTCCAATGAAGGGCCAGATGTATACAAAATGGTGTAGTCTGCGTAGAGGTGGATCTGAGAGTCACCAGCAGCAAGAGCGACGTCATTGATATACACAGAGAAAAGAGTCGGCCCAAGAATTGATCCCTGTGGCACCCCCATAGAGACTGCCATAGGTCCAGACAACAGGCCCTCCGATTTGACACATTGAACTCTATCTGAGAAGTAGTTGGTGAACCAGGCGAGGCAATCATTTGAGAAACCAAGGCTATTTAGTCTGCCAATAAGAATGCGGTGGTTGACAGAGTCGAAAGCCTTGGCCAGGTCAATGAAAACGGCTGCACAGTACTGTCTATTATCGATCGCGGTTATAATATCGTTTAGGACCTTGAGCGTGGCTGAAGTGCACCCATGACCAGCTCGGAAACCGGATTGCATAGCGGAGAAGGTACGGTGGGTTTCGAAATAGTCGGTGATCTGTTTGTTGACTTGGCTTTCAAAAACTTTTGAAAGGCAGGGCAGGATGGATATGGGTCTGTAACAGTTTTTATCTAGAGTGTCACCCCCTTTGAAGAGGGGGATGACCGCGGCAGCTTTCCAATCTCTGGGGATCTCAGACGTTACGAAAGAGAGGTTGAACAGGCTAGTAATAGGGGTTGCGACAATTTCGGTGGCTAGTTTTAGAAAGAAAGGGTCCAGATTGTCTAGCCCAGATGATTTGTAGGGGTCCATATTTTGCAGCTCTTTTAGAACATCAGCTGTCTGGATTTGTGTGAAGGAGAAGCGGGGGGGGCATGGGCAAGTTGCAGCGGAGGGTGCAGAACTGGTGGCCGGGGTAGTGGTAGCCAGGTGGAAAGCATGGCCAGCCGTAGCAAAATGCTTGTTGAAATTCTCGATTATTGTAGATTTATCGGTGGTGATAGTGTTTCCTAGCCTCAGTGCAGTGGGCAGCTGGGAGGAAGTGCTCTTATTTTCCATGGACTTTACAGTGTCCCATGGAACTTTACAGTGTCCCATGGACTTTACAATTTTCCATGGACTTTACAGTGTCCCAAAGCAACACTATGGAGGATCATCTAACACTATGGGGGATCATCTAACACTATGGAGGACCATCTAACACTATGCAGAATCAGCAACACTATGGAGGATCATCTAACACTATGGGGGATCATCTAACACTATGGAGGATTATCTAACACTATGGAGGACCATCTAACACTATGGAGGATCATCTAACACTATGGGGGATCATCTAACACTATGGAGGATAATCCAACACTATGGAGGATCATCTAACACTATGGGAGAAGATCTAACACTATGGAGGATCATCTAACACTATGGGGGATCATCTAACACTATGAAGGACCATCTAACACTATGGAGGATCATCGAACACTATGGAGGATCATCTAACACTATGGGGGATCATCTAACACTATGGAGGATAATCTAAAACTATGGAGGATCATCTAACACTATGGAGGATTATCTAACACTATGGAGGACCATCTAACACTATGGAGGATAATCTAAAACTATGGAGGATCAGCAACACTATGGAGGATCATCTAACACTATGGAGGATAATCTAACACTATGGAGGATCAGCAACACTATGGAGGATCAGCTAACACTATGGGGGATCATCTAATACTATGGGGGATAATCCAACACTCTGGAGGATCATCTAACACTATAGAGGATCAGGTAACGTTATGGAGGATCAGCAACACTATGGAGGATCATCTAACATTATGGAGGATCATCTAACACTATGGAGGATTATCTAACACTATGGAGGATCATTTAACACTATGGGGGATCATCTAACACTATGGAGGATCATATAACACTATGGGGGATCATCTAACACTATGGAGTATCATCTAACACTATGGAGGTTCATCTAACACCATGGAGGATCATCTAACACTATGGGGGATCATCTAACACTATGGGGGATCATCTAACACTATGGAGGATCATCTAACACTATGGATGATCATCTAACACTATGGAGGATCATCTAACATTATGGGCGATCATCTAACACTATGGGAGAAGATCTAACACTATGGAGGATCATCTAACACTATGGGGGATCATCTAACACTATGGAGGATCATCTAACACTATGGGGGATCATCTAACACTATGAAGGACCATCTAACACTATGGAGGATCATCGAACACTATGGAGGATCATCTAACACTATGGGGGATCATCTAATACTATGGAGGATAATCTAACACTATGGAGGAATATCTAACACTATGGAGGATAATCTAACACTATGGAGGAATATCTAACACTATGGAGGATTATCTAACACTATGGAGGACCATCTAACACTATGGAGGATAATCTAACACTATGAAGGACTATCTAACACTATGGAGGATATCTAACACTATGGGGGATCATCTAACACTATGGAGGATAATCTAAAACTATGGAGGATCATCTAACACTATGGAGGATTTTCTAACACTATGGAGGACCATCTAACACTATGGAGGATAATCTAACACTATGGAGGATTATCTAACACTATGGAGGACCATCTAACACTATGGAGGATCAGCAACACTATGGAGGATCATCTAACACTATGGAGGATCAGCAACACTATGGAGGATCATCTAACACTATGGAGGATCAGCAACACTATGGAGGATCATCTAACACTATGGAGGATAATCTAACACTATGGAGGATCAGCAACACTATGGAGGATCAGCTAACACTATGGGGGATCATCTAACACTATGGGGGATAATCTAACACTATGGAGGATCATCTAACACTATGGAGGATCAGGTAACGTTATGGAGGATCAGCAACACTATGGAGGATCATCTAACATTATGGAGGATCATCTAACACTATGGAGGATCATCTAACACTATGGGGGATCAACTAACACTATGGGTGGTCATCTAACAGTAAGACAGAGAGCACTATGGGGGATCATCTACACTACCGTTCAAAAGTTTGGGGTCACTTAGAAATGGAGGATCATCTAACATTATGGAGGATAATCTAACACTATGGAGGAATATCTAACACTATGGAGGATTATCTAACACTATGGAGGACCATCTAACACTATGGAGGATAATCTAACACTATGAAGGACTATCTAACACTATGGAGGATATCTAACACTATGGGGGATCATCTAACACTATGGAGGATAATCTAAAACTATGTGAAGAGGCGACTGCGGGATGCTGACCTTCTAGGCAGAGTTGCAAAGAAAAAGCCATATCTCAGACTGGCCAATAAAAATAAAAGATTAAGATGGGCAGTCTGAGATATGGCTTTTTCTTTGCAACTCTGCCTAGAAGGTTAGCATCCCGGAGTCGCCTCTTCACTGTTGACGTTGAGACTGGTGTTTTGCGGGTACTATTTAATGAAGCTGCCAGTTGAGGACCTGTGAGGCGTCTGTTTCTCAAACTAGACACTCTAATGTATTTGTCCTCTTGCTCAGTTGTACACTTGTTCTCAGAACAAGAATAGACTGACGAGTTTCAGAAGAAAGTTATTTGTTTCTGGCCATTTTGAGCCTGTAATCGAACCCACAATTGCTGATGCTCCAGATACTCAACTAGTCTCAAGAAGGCCAGTTTTATTGCTTACCTCTCTGTCATCCCCCCTTACTGCCATACCTCTCTGTCATCCCCCCTTACTGCCATACCCCTCTGTCATCCTCCCTTACTGCCATATCTCTCTGTCAACCCCCCTTACTGCCATACCCCTCAGTCATCCCCCCTTACTGCCATACCTCTCTGTCATCCTCCTTACTGCCATACCTCTCTGTCATCCTCCCTTACTGCCATACCTCTCTGTCATCCCCCCCTTATGCCATACTCTCTCTGTCATCTTCCTTACTGCCATACCCCCTCTGTCATCCCCCCTTCACTGCCATACCTCTTGTCCATCCTCCCTTACTGCCATACCTCTCTGTCATCCTCCCTTACTGCCATACCTCTCTGTCATCCTCCCTTACTGCCATACCTCTCTGTCATCTTCCTTACTGCCATACCCCTCTGTCATCCCTCCTTACTGCCATACCTCTCTGTCATCCACCCTTACTGCCATACCTCTCTGTCATCTTCCTTACTGCCATACCCCTCTATCATCCCCCCTTACTGCCATACCTCTCTGTCATCCTCCCTTACTGCCATACCTCTCTGTCATCTTCCTTACTACCATACCCCTCTGTCATCCCCCCTTACCGCCATACCTCTCTGTCATCCTCCCTTACTGCCATACCTCTCTGTCATCCCCCCACCCCTTTATATACAGGGTGATATCACAGTTTATGCTGCACATGCTATGATTCAATTCCAGAGTGTCATTGTTGTTGAGGGGAACGATTCAATGGTTACTAGGATAGATATACAGTTCTTAAGATTCATAGACACACATAACAACACATGTATGAACACACAGGAACAGTGAATGTGTGTAATGTGTAGCTCACCTGTTTTGAGGGTATTGTGTCGTCTCTGTGTGTGTCAGTGTGTGTGTCAGTGTGTGTGTCTGTGTGTGTGTCAGTGTGTGTGTCTGTGTGTGTGTCCTGCTTCTGTTTCTGGTCCTCTGTCATGTCTTTCAGCTCCCCCAGGTCACAGTCTGGACAGAGAGGTAGAAGACAGTTAAAGGGGAAGTTCAGGATTTTACAACTTGAAGTTAGGCGGTTGCTCACCCTGAAAATAGTCTATGGGCCAGGAGAAACTGTTGTACAATCATTAACTTCCCCTTTAATGCCCTGGTTGTTCAGATAAAGTTGGTATCACTCTAAGGACCAAACTCACCAAAGGTCTCGAAGAGGGATTCCACAAAGCTGGTGCCGTTTCTGTACACTGACATGTTCATGTACAAGTAGTCTGGTCCTGTCACTTGGGGAAAGATGGAAGCAAAACATACTGTATAAACACACTTCATGAAGATCTTATATTATTCGATTTCACTTAATCTGTGATGTATCTGTTTACTGTCTGTCTGTTCCTATCTGTCTTTCCCTGTCTGTACCAGACCTGGGTTCAATTACTATTTGAAATCATTTCAAGCATCTATCTGTGCTTGAATGAGTTTGCCTTCCATCTGGCACTCTGGCAGACTAAAGCAAATGCTAAAAAGTATTTGAAGGATTTCAAATAGTATTTGAATTCAGGTCTGGTCTATACCTCTGTTTGTCTCCTACCTGTGGGCTGTAGTTGTCTGTCTGTCTGTAGTCTCCTACCTGTGGGCTGTAGCTGTCTGTCTGTAGTCTCCTATCTGTGGGCTGTAGCTGTCTGTCTGTCTGTCTGTCCTGTATGTCTGTCTGTCTGTCTGTCTGTCTGTCTGTCTGTCTGTCTGTCTGTCTGTCTGTCTGTCTGTCTGTCTGTCTGTCTGTCTGTCTGTCTGTCTGTCTGTCTGTCTGTCTGTCTGTCTGTCTGTCGTCTCCTACCTGTGGGCTGTAGTTGTTTCAGCAGGTTCCTAACAGAGGTCTTCTTGTCCTCAGTAGGAGAGCTCAGAGTCTCGTTGTCCAGCAGCTTCAGCAGAACATTGAGCTCCGTCACCAGGACATTCATGGCTAAGGAAGGGGTCGGAGGTCAGAGGTTAGAGGTCAGATGTTAAAGGTCAGGGAGGGAGAGGACAGAGGTCAATCAACCCAGACTAAACATCTTTCTGTTTCTGTCAACAAACACAGGCACGTACGCATACCCATGCATCCCTCTCTCACTCTCTCTCTGGTCCATCTCTGTCTCCCCTCATCCCTTTACTCTGTCTCTCTCTCCCCCCCTCCCCCATCTCTCTGTCTCTCTCAGGGGTAGGGGAAACCCAGTACTACACTTCCATATATCCAGTATGAAGATACCTAACATCATGGTGTTTTTAAAGCCCAGTCAGCTTTTTAGGAGAATATCGTTCACATGTTGATGTGCGAGGTGGGACTAGACCGCTCCCTGTTTTCAGAACAGAGCGAAAATAAACCTTCAGCTCTGCAAGCAGGTGTATGCTCCTGAGAGCAGGTCTGTTAACTGTGTGTGTGGGTGTGTCTGTGTGTGTTTGTGTGTTTGTGTGTGTATGTGTGTGTGTGTGTGTGTGTGTATGTGTGTGTGTGTGTGTGTGTGTGTCTGTGTGTGTGTGTCTCTGTGTGTGTGTATGTGTGTGTGTGTGTGTGTGTGTGTGTGTGTGTGTGTGTGTGTGTGTGTGTGTGTGTATGTGTGTGTGTCTTTATGATCATGAACCATATACAGCCTGAAGCTACAGACACAGTGACCTAGACTAACCATGAGCTCATTTTACAGTCCTACCCCAGCTCTCTCTCTCTCTCTCTCTCTCTCTCTCTGGTCAAATCACTTTCTCCACCTCTCTCTCTCTCTCTCTGGTCAATCTCTTTCTCCACTTCTCTCTCTCTCTCTCTCTGTGTTCAATCTCTTTCTCCACTTCTCTCTCTCTCTCTCTCTCTCTCTCTCTCTCTCTCTCTGGTCAATCTCTTTCTCCACTTCTCTCCCTCTCTTTGGTCAATCTCTTTCTCCACTTCTCTCTCTCTCTCTCTCTCTCTCTCTCTGGTCCATTTCTTTCTCCACTTCTCTCTCTCTCTCTGGTCCATCTCTTTCTCCACTTCTCTCTCTCTCTCTCTCTGGTCAATCTCTTTCTCCACTTCTCTCTCTCTCTCTCTCTCTCTCTCTCTCTGGTCCATCTCTTTCTCCACTTCTCTCTCTCTCGCTCTCTGGTCCATCTCTTTATCCACTTCTCTCTCTCTCTCTCTCTGGTCCATCTCTTTCTCCACTTCTCTCTCTCTCTCTCTGGTCCATCTCTTTCTCCACTTATCTCGCTCTCTCTGGTCCATCTCTTTCTCCACTTCTCTCTCCCAATTCCATTTCAATTCAATTTCAAATTTCTATTCAAGGGCTTTATTGGCAAGGGAAACATATGTTTACACTGCCAAAGCAAATGAAATAGATAATAAACAAAAGTGAAATAAACAATAAAACAAATGAACAGTTAACATTACACTAACAAAAGTTCCAAAAGAATAAAGATTTTCAAATGTCATTTTATGTCTATATACAGTGTTGTAATGATGTGCAAATAGTTAAAGTACAAGAGGGAAAATAAATAAACATAAATATGGGTTGTATTTACAATGGTGTTTGTTCTTCACTGGTTGCCCTTTTCTTGTAGCAACAGGCCACAAATATTGCTGATGTGATGGCACACTGTGGTATTTCACCCAATAGATATGGAGTTTATCAAAATTGGGTTTGTTTTCAAATTCTTTGTGGATCTGTGTAATCTAAGGGAAATTTGGCAGGAGGTTAGGAAGTGCAGCTCAGTTTCCACCTAATTTTGTGGGCAGTGTGCACATAGCCTGTCTTCTCTTGAGAGCCAGGTCTGTCTACGGCGGCCATCTCAATAGCAAGGCTATGCTCACTGAGTTTGGACATAGTCAAAGCTTTCCTTAAGTTTGGGTCAGTCACAGTGGTCAGGTATTCTGCCACTGTGTACGCTCTGTTAAGGGCCAAATAGCATTCTAGTTTGCTCAGTTTTTTTGTTAATTCTTTCCATTGTGTCAAGCAATTATCTTTTTGTTTTCTCATGATTTGGTTGGTTCTAATTGTGTTGCTGTCCTGGTGCTCTGTGGGGTCTGGTTGTGTTTGTGAACAGATCCCCAGGACCAGCTTGCTTATGGGACTCTTCTCCAGGTTAATCTCTCTGTAGGTGATGGCTTTGTTATGGATGGTTTGGGAAACGCTTCCTTTTAGGTGGTTGTAGAATTTAACGGCTCTTTTCTGGATTTTGATCATTAGTGGGTATCGGCCTAATTCTGCTCTGCATGCATTATTTGGTGTTTTATGTTGTACACTGAGGATATTTTTGCAGAATTCTGCATGCAGAGTCTCAATTTGGTGTTTATCCCATTTTATGACTTCTTGGTGGTGAGCGGACCCCAGACCTCACAACCATAAAGGGCAATGGGTTCTATAACTGATTCAAGTATTTTTAGCCAGATCCTAATTGGTATGTCAAATGTTATGTTCCTTTTGATGGCATAGAAGGCCCTTCTTGCCTTGTCTCTCAGATCGTTCACAGCTTTGTGGAAGTTACCTGTGGCGCTGGTGTTTAGGCCGAGGTATGTACAGTTTTTTGTGTGCTCTAGGGCACCGGTGTCTAGATGGAATTTGTATTTGTGGTCCTGGCAACTGGACCATTTTTTTGGAGCACCACCAAGGAGGGCCCAGATCTGACAGAATCTGTGCAGAAGATCTAGGTGCTGCTGTAGGCCCTCCTTGGTCGGGGATAGAAGCACCAGATCATCAGCAAACAGTAGACATTTGACTTCAGATTCTAGTAGGGTGAGGCCGGGTGCTGCAGACTGTTCTAGTGCCCTCACCAATTTGTTGATACAGTGGGGAGAACAAGTATTTGATACACTGCCGATTTAGCAGGTTCTCCTACTTACAAAGCATGTAGAGGTCTGTAATTTTTATCATAGGTACACTTCAACTGTGAGAGACGGAATCTAAAACAAAAATCCAGAAAATCACATTATATGATTTTTAAGTAATTAATTTGCATTTTATTGCATGACATAAGTATTTGATACATCAGAAAAGCAGAACTTAATATTTGGTACAGAAACCTTTGTTTGCAATTACAGAGATCATACGTTTCCTGTAGGTCTTGACCAGGTTTGCACACACTGCAGCAGGGATTTTGGCCCACTCCTCCATACAGACCTTCTCCAGATCCTTCAGGTTTCGGGGATGTCGCTTGGCAATACGGACTTTCAGCTCCCTCCAAAGATTTTCTATTGGGTTCAGGTCTGGAGACTGGCTAGGCCACTCCAGGACTTTGAGATGCTTCTTAAGGAGCCACTCCTTAGTTGCCCTGGCTGTGTGTTTCGGGTCGTTGTCATGCTGGAAGACCCAGCCATGACCCATCTTCAATGCTCTTACTGAGGGAAGGAGGTTGTTGGCCAAGATCTCGCGATACATGGCCCCATCCATCCTCCCCTTAATATGGTGCAGTCGTCCTGTCCCCTTTGCAGAAAAGCATCCCCAAAGAATGATGTTTCCACCTCCATGCTTCATGGTTGGGATGGTGTCATGCTGGAATACCCATTGACTGATCATTTCTTTGTCAGCGGGCAAACGTACAAAATCAGCAGGGGATCAAATACTTTTTTCCCTCACTGTATATGTTTTTGCTGTTTGTTCTTTGTTATAGGACCAAGATTGGAGATGTAGTTTATCCATACATCTCCGTTTTGGATAGATAACTATTCATGTTGTTGTTTGTTTAGTGCTTTCCAATTTTCCCAGAAGTGGTTGGAGACTATGGATTCTTCAATTACATTGAGATGATTTCGGACGTGCTGTTCCTTATTTTTCCGTAGTGTACTTCTGTATTGTTTTAGTGATTCACCTTAGTGAAGGTGTAGGTTTTCTTGGTTTCTATGTTTTTGGTTGGATAGGTTTCTTAATTCCTTTCTTAGGTTTTTGCATTCTTTATCAAACCATTTGTCATTGTTGTTAATTTTCTTAGGTTTTCTGCTTGAAATGTTTAGATTTGATAGGGAAGCTGAGAGGTCAAATATACTGTTTAGGTTTTCTACTGCCAAGTTTACACTTTCACTATTACAGTGAAATGTTTTGTCCAGAAAGTTGTCTAAAAGGGATTTAATTTGTTGTTGCCTAATTGTTTTCTGGTAGGTTTCCACACTACTTTCCTTCCATCTATAGCATTTCTTAATATTATTCAGTTCCTCTGGCTTTGATGCCTCATGATTGAGTATTGCTCTCACTGGCGATTTTACCATGTAAATCTTGGTGGGGCAAACAAAAACAAAAATGTGGGATGCATGCCAGCAAAGCCACTACACAACACAACACTAAACAATACATTAATTGTACTATAACGGTGACAAACGTAAAGCTGTCCCAACAGCAGTCCCAACACCTTACCACTGCTATGCCTGGCTATCAGCAGAGCCTTCTCAGGCAGCAAAACAGTTCATTCATCCTCATTTACTGCCTTTAAAAAAAACATAGCTGATTTGGCTGACTTGCTTAAACAAATGTGGTTTCTACTGACAATTGAGATGTACAAACTATGGCATAAGGGGATGACAAGCGAATAAGAGGCGATCCGTAATTTCGATTAAGACATTAATGAGCGAGCTAGGATGGACGTAGTCAATATAACTATTTGTTCAGCACTTTTGAAATGTACAGCTACAGAATTCAGAACGGGCCATTCTTACAGTGTTCTCTCTGTACTCCAAGTCAGAACCGTAGGATAAATAAAGGGGGCATATAAGCAGACAATGAAAGCTCTTACAATATTCACACACATAGTAGACATGTTAACTACACGCCAGCATTCAGTCACACACATAGTATACATGTTAACTACACGCCAGCATTCAGTCACACACATAGCAGACATGTTAATTACATGCCAGAATTCAGTCACACACATAGCAGACATGTTAACTACACGACAGCATTCAGTCTTCCACCTCAGGTTTTGAATGACTAACAGTTGATGAGTTCAGTGAAATGCACATCTATCTACAGCAGC